TGGGTCAAGAAAGGAAGAAGAAGGAGGAGAGAAAAGGAATCATAAAATGAAGAAAGTTAGTGAGAATATAATAATCTTTCACTTCCTTTTCCTTGTAACGTTATTAATTTTTTTTTTTAAACATTACTAATCATGCTACAAGTCATTTATCGAATTCGAGGTTTGGAGAAAAAAAAATAATTAAATAGATAAACTTCTAGATGCGATATGATAGTTATAGGTTAAATGAAGGAAACCATTTACTGAAACTAAAACCGACTCTCAAATTATTTAGACCCCTGAAGGCTATCATCTTAGCTTCTAGGTTTATTATATCTAACAGATCCTTTTCTTTTTAACGAGAGTCATGCCGATACACCCATCTTCTCAATACCGGTTATCCGAACGGTTTTGTAAACGGAAAGTATCGGATCGGTTTCGTGGATCCGCACTGCCTTACCCTAGCTGTTCTCATTAAATTAACTTATTTTGCGGAACTTAATAAAAATTCTAAAGTTTGAAATCTAATTTTAAAAAAATAAATTACTATTATTTATTAACGACTTTTTATCCCACTAAATCGAACCGGGGTTGGATCGGCCCGAAGTTCAAGATTTATTTATTTTTATTTTCCCTTGGCTATTTCTTTTACTCGAGTCCGTCCATAGCCAAAATATTAAAACAAAAACTGAAGGCTAAAAAATGGAATGGGTAAGAACGAAGGAACTTTTGGGAAAGATTACTAAATTTTTATAACGATGTATCTGTCTATAAGTTACATCGTTGTCACTCACAATGCCACTTTCGATACATTTCTGCAGAAGTGCACAATAGGATTTTTTTCTTGTATACTAGTACTTTTTTGATCTACTTATATACCATTGTTCGATCATTCATTTTTGTTATATTTAAAAAAATATCCTTTTACTATTATAGATTTGTCATTAAAAAATAATAAATTGCTTGACATAAATTTAAATAATAAAAAAAAATGTCACAAATAGAAATCCAATTACGCAAGAATACTTTGAAAGGTTTGGCCTAAAAAAAACCATGTTTTCTTTTCTCCTCGGTGAATTAAAAAAAAAAGTTTTCGAAGTATTAAAAAAGTAAGTAATTAAATGAGTATTATTATTTCTACCATGGCTGTGTCTTCGCGTATAGGGCAGGCAGGAAGGAATGAAAGAATCAGAATGGAATGGAAAAGAAAAAAGATTAGAATGGAATGGAAAAGAAAAAAGATTAGAATGGAAAGAAGAAAAATAAAATAGAAAAGGGAACATTTTTTTTTAAATTTTGTAATTTTTTTTTGTAATTTTTAAAGAAAAAAATATAAAATAATGATTTCGCGAAAACAAATTATAAAATATTTTTGATGGGAAAATTTTTTCTCTTTTCTTTTTTTAAAAATAAAAGAGAAAACCTTTACAAAAATAAAATAATTGTGTAATTTTTTCTGTTCATTTCATTTTTCTTTTTTGCCAAAAGCATATGTTTTTTATTTTATCTTTTAATTATCTCTTATTACCATCATTCCAATCCCAACCAATCACCTTTGTCCTTCTAATGAGGAAGATTTATATTTATTTTAATTTCGCTGCCGATTGACCCCAGTTTCGTTATTTTTCTGTATTCATTCATTGCTTTACACGTGAAACCGGGAAATTTTGGCAACACTTTTCTGGAACCTTCGAACGAGAACATGTATTCGGGATAATTTTATAAAATAATGTTCTTGTTCATTCCCCCCACTTAAATTACATTTTTTTTTGGGGGGGGGGGTCTTGGAATGTTTCTACCCCGGTAAATAAATAGAGAACATAGGATCGTTTTCGCGAGACCAAGAATTACTAAAAGATGGTTCCGTAATCTGAATATTATTTTCTAAGGAGTCGCTTAACTGTGTGACCTTATACCGGAGTTTTTATTTTATAGCTGGCGATGATATAATAGTTTTTAAGCTAAGCCAGATTTTTTTTTTATTGTTGCGGATTGGAAAAATCCTACGAGACCGGGGTTTACTGTAGTTTTTTTTTATGAGCAAAGCATATGAAGATAAAAAAAACAGATGATAAAGGACCGACCCCTTGTTTCAGATTGTCACTTACGCCGGACAAATCACATCAAAAATTCTCCTTAACACAGTTATCCCAAAAAAGTCACTATTCACTTAAAAACTACTATGGTGTAGCTCGAGCTTCGAAGCCATTTTGAAAATGCGAATTGATCCGAGTTTTTCTAAACCGATTATTATTATTATTTCTAAAACATCACTTTTTTTTGTGGAGCTATTTTGCAGATTTCCTTTTTCTTACTTACCAAATCTAACTAAGGTATCCTCGAGTCTCCTTAAAAATATTCGCTTCTTCTTTTTATTATAATATCGATTTTCGGACCGGAAATAAGGTGAGATATAAATAGTTTTTTAGATAAATTTTGGCGGCACAGATTCATTCCTAATTTTCATCATCTATTAAACTCGTATAAGCCATCCTTTCTATTTTTAAAAAGAATAGGGATAAAAAGTAATCATTCCCTTCCCCCCTCCTTTCTCTCCGAAGATTTTCCTCTCAGCTGTATTTTTTTGCTTTACCCGCGAGGAGTAATTGATTTACTTTCTAATTTCTCTTTAAAATGTCATATCTGTCTAACTTGGTTCTAATAAATATTTATATAAGCATAAAGATAAAGGTTGTTAAAAAAGTTCGACTCGGCGGGTCGATTTTTAAAAAATGACCCGATTAAGATTTTAGCCAAAATAATATTAATTTTGCTCATAGATGGCAGTAAGGTGACTTTCTAATTTACCGAATCTCGAATTCTTAATAATTTTTTTTGGCTAAAATCTTAATCGCGGGCTTTGTTAGGCTCGTGTCCAAAATATCAAAAAATTTAATTGATAAACTTTCCAAACTTTAACGATAACAAATAAATAAGCTACTTTAAAAATATAAAAATGAAAACATGTCCAAAACATAATTCTAAGAAAATTTCAAAAATTTTTGAACTTTCAGAATTTTTTTAAAAAAATGATTTTGGACATAGCCTTGAGTGCATCAGCTGTTTCAACTTTTAGCAGAACTAAAACCCCATATAAATTCCAAAAAACAAGTATTTTTTTCCCCCATTTTTAACCAAAGTTTTGGCTTCCATTTTGTATGTTTGTTATATTTAATGATGATAATATTTTTATATGTAAAGCCATCTATAATCCTTCATTTTTTTTCCCCATGTTTTCGTTGGTTAATTTAATCTTCGATTCGAAGGTGAGCCATGTTAACATTAAGCACCTGCTTTTAAATCGTATTATGTAATTTTAATTAATTTTATTGATATTAATTTAATATAAATTTAATATTAATAATATACTACTTAATTTTTTTATAATGTAAAAAAAAAATGTAATTTAAGAATTTTGTAACAGGCTTCGAAATTCAATTTGTTGAGGGGAGTAAAAGAATAAATTAATATAATATATGTGGAGGATTTTATATAAATAATTTATATAACAACTTATAATAGCTTTAGCTATAAATACTACTAATATATATAATAATATACAATTTGCAATATGATACATTGTCATTTTTATTTATCATAATGTAAATAATGGTATTGCGCATGCTCGTTCATGAATTTGAGACAAAGGGAATCCTAGAGAAAGGAAAACCCGTTTACATTTCAATTAGCTGCTTAATTTTTTTTAATGTAACGCATTTATTTTTTGTTAATATCTTTTAAAATGGCGTTCTATAATAATGATTCTTTTTTCTTTTTTTTGAATAAGTAAAAAAATTTGATTTAATTATTTATTGCATCTTCTGAACTTGGGAGTTTTTTGGGACTTCCTTGTCATTTTTCTTGCTAGAAGATACAAATTTTATTGAATTAATCACTCCATAATATTGATTAAATGTCGGCCAATGACATTATACGTCATTAGTGTCGGTAAATGGTTCTATATGGGCTGAAGCCGGCTTAGTCGAGTTTTTAGACGAAACTTATCTGTTCACATACATCTTCGAGGTTTACGCATAAAAGAGGCGACTCGTTAAGGCTCAGCTGATTTTTTGAACTTTTTATTCTAATTTCTTAATCTACATTATAGAAATTAATATAACTAATATTATGTTAAGGCCATACCATAGCTTTCTATCTATCTTTCGGAAAAATTAAATCAATATCTATACAAAATAATAATTAAAATTAAATATATCTTTATAAATTACATTATAACCTGGTATAGTGTTAAATACAATTATAATATACATGTAATATGTAATGGAAATTATTCGAAATCAATTCAAAATTGTTAGCAGACGGTAAAAAAAAATTTTTAATGTGCAAATTGCTATAAATATTCAATTTTTTTTAACGTTATTTTTACAAACTTTTGATTTTTGGTTTTGCTATCTTTTTAACATTATGCACTATAAACGCCCTGGTATGACCTTGGTCCGATGTACATATGCTGTGCTAGATTTGCCATTCATTGTATTTAAAGGTGTCCCTGCATGGGAATCAGCTGTAACGCCATTTTAAGGTTCCATGTCGATTAAATGACATTAGTGTGCCTTCATATAATTAAAAATGAACATTTCACCCGCAAATCACACAATGGCTACTACAGCTGATTCCTATTTACGTACATTTATAATTAATGAATCGCCAATCTAAGGTCCGGTCCGGCCCGAAATTTTTTTACAAAAATTTGCCGATATTTAAATATAAAAATTAATTTTTATAATTACTCAAAATAAACGATATATGTTATGTAGCGTCTAGTTTCTATAAATAAAATCAAAAAATTCAACATAAAATTGATAAATTTAAAAAAAAATTCCAAGGCACGATCCGACCCGGCCCAAATTTATTTTAAAATATTAGGTCCGGCCCAGCCTGAAGCCGGTTCGGGTCGGGTACGGACCGGACCTACTTTTGCGGATTTCTAGTAACTAGTAATAAATATTTAAACTCGAATAAATTATAAAAATTTTTTCAAAATACGATTCTATTCGCAGGTGACATAACTCAAAAGGGTTTCGATAAGAAGAAAACTAAGATCTTGGAGAGCTACGCTGCTCTAGCCACCCAAGCCGCTGATTATAAAGGTTTACAGAAAAGTTAACTAAATAAGAACGATTTGTTTATATTTTTCGAGAAAAGAAATGTTGTCATATAAATCTTAACCCCCCCCCTTCCCATGCCACATGATTTTTGAAAGTTGTCGCTTTCTCTTCTGCCTGAGATTACCCCCCCCCCCCCCCCACTTACTTATTAGGACGCGCTCGATAAAGAAATCTATTGAATGGCTAATAAAATAATAGGAAAATTTGCCAATCTTTGATATTTTTTTTTAATTACTCTGTTTAATTAATTTACGCTCACCTTTGAGCGTAGCTTTTCGACATTACGCGGCAAAATTATTTAGAAGCGTTTTTATAAAAATAAATAAAATTAGTTATTTATATTTTACGAAAAACCCCCGAAGACTTATTCTTTTATTAAATGTTTGCCAATCCGCACCGCGGATCATTCTGTAAACTTTTAGGTGCGGAGCGCGAATTTGCGCTAACTGTTAATGTAGGTTAAAGGTCTCCTCTTTATTTTATAATGATAAACAGCTGTTTAAGTAGAATTTGAATGATTTTTTTAGACTAAAAAGATATAAGAATATGTGCTTTAAGCGTTTTTTATAAGGTTACCGAAATAGAACCCCAAAAATGTGTTCTAGCTATATTTTATGAATGGAATGCTATTCATAACGCGGGCTTTTAAATTATATTTTATATTATACTGAACGAAAGGGTTTGAGAAAAATCAAAAGGCATCTCCGGAAAAATTAACCGACCAAAAACCTATATTTCGGCCCAACACTGGTTTCATAAGCTCTACCGACGAAGATGGCGAAATAGGATGCGAAGGTCGGACGGATCAGGTGACCGCTATAACTATGCGGCTGAAACTGTCGGACCACGATGGTACCTACGAAAGACCAATATCTATCGTCGACCGGGAAAAATCGCCCCAAAATGAGCGAAAACTCACCAAAAATTCGGACAAAGCGCGAATGATTAGATTACCCCACCGTAAAACTCCCAGGAGCTCTAAACAGCTATTCAAAAATGCCAATGGGGTCCACGGTTCCCCGGGTTCGATGCCCCAAGAAGTTGATCGCGAAAACGCTACGAGGTCACATGCTCAAGCTTTCAACAAAATAACGCGCAACGAGAGCAGATATACCTCGGGTAGGAATTTTTTTTCTACTTCATATTCATTGGAAAATCGTTAAGAAAGGAATGAAGAGAGAAAGAAAGAATGGAAGAAATAAAGAAAATAAAAAAAAAATCTTGATTTTCCCTATGTTTTTAAACACGCAAATAAAACGTATACATGAACAACAACGACTAATAACGGTAATTAATTTATCAAATCGAGGAATGAATGAATGAACGATGGATATGATTAATATAAAGCTGTAAAAAAAAATTTCTGCCGCATAGCAAACGAACCTATTGAGTTGAAGGGTGTCAATAATTTTTCGGAAATTTACTGGAGAACATTTTTTTCCGTTTTAAATATTCGAAAAACACCTGTGAATTTTCCCTAAATCATTTTTTAATTAGATTAAAGCACGTGATGAATATTCATGTACGACTATTTATTATAAATAATACTCTATCGATAAAGATACTCGTCAAGAGGCCGTGGACCGAGCCCTCAAAAGTGGGGAATCGCAATTGCCTTCCGTCCTCGCTCCCCATAGAAGAAAAACATCCCGCCTCTCTTCGATCAACGCCTTCGCCGCTGAACTCGCCCCAAATGGGCACTCGTCACCCAACACCAAAACTTCCGGTAAGATTGTAATTTAATTTATTTAAAATTATTCCTTATATAAAAATTGCTACAAAAAAGTTTAATCCCCAAAATTAACCAACCACCCATTATTCTGCCGATTCTGTGAATGCCACACCGTTACTTAATATCCTATTACCCTCGAGTACAAATATTATTTAGACAGCTGTAGAGGAATAGAAAGTCATATAGTCCGGTTCAGATCCCTACACGGTCAGAATAAATTTCCTCCAAAATGATCAACTATTTTAAATCTTATATACTTGGAACCATTTGGGTTTTAAATTCGACCACTATGCAGCCAACCCAAGATTAAACCCGGACTGTTTGCCCTCCTCTATGCAGAGGTGTAACCGTTTATAGACATAGCTGACCCCGGTTTTTAATTTGGTTATTTTACTAACCGCTTTGGGCTTTTGGGTTTTAAAAAAAATGGACCTCTAACGGTCCGAACCCCTGGATATCTAATATATATAAAAAAAATACAAACTTTTCTATATTTCGATCAATTATTACTCTCAGACGATTCCTCCATCCCGGCCAAGATTACCGACTCGGAACTCAGCTCTAGTCTCTCCAGAACCAACACCGAGAATAGCGGAAACAGTTCCCACGCCACGTACGACCTCAAACACTGCTATTACTACAACGACACGAAAGAAAAGGCGGGAATGGTTAGCTATAATTTTCTTTGCTTATTTGAAGAATTTTTTTTTAAAAAAAAACGTTTTGTAGAAGTTCCAAATTTTTCTTTTTTGGATTGGGAAGGTTCGGGCCGGGTCGGGCCTAATATTTATGGTTTACAACGAATGTGCTTCATATATTCATTCTCTTCAATATGGCTGACTCTGGAAATTGTTCAGTATGCCTGTCTTTTTTTAAAGATGTCACATGATTCTATGAGAAATGTAACCCCCTAGATACTGAATCGCGACAGCTGTTTACATATAAATATTTCATAATTATTATTTTCTTAGTATCTCATTTGATATATTTTTGAACCTGGAATACTTAAAATTGATCTTTTTGCTATTTCAAAAGTTTTTTTAAAAAAAAAACCGAAACTGTACATTTTAACACTAATGCACACAATAGGTTACCAAGCTTGCTAACTCTCGTGACGACACTGCTAACGTTAACTTGCCAAAATACTATTTCGATCACCAAACCGAGGGAGGTGCCCCTAACCCTCCCCCACTCTCGAAAATCCCCGGGATATCGCCGGAAACGTTGAACGATTTCAGCCGACATCCCGAGCGATCCACTAGCAGCGAAATAGACGGAAGAAGTTACAGCATAAACATCAACCAAGATTCGCTCGTGGGTCCGCCCGAGAATGGGCACCCCGCCCATCCTGAAAATGGTTTTTAATAATAAATATAATCTCATTTTTTTTTAACATAGTTCGCGCGGAAACTTTTTGATTAGAAACCGGCGCGGGCCGGTCTTGTCCAAACTGATTGTTTGGCGCCCGTAAAATAATTTTATGCAAGTTACCCCACAGCTCCATAATTTTTTATGACGGAAAAAGATATAGATTTTAAGCCTAATTCTAATCTTTAAAAAAATTTACATAATAACGGTCCGTGGGGCGGGCTGGCCGTGCCGACCTCTAACTATGACGTCAGGGAGAATTCTATAGGGAAAATCATTTATCTTCGTGTTTTTATTTCCTCGAAAAAAATGGCAGAAAGTATAGGCTGGAACAAAATGACTATAGGTTTTTTTTTACCGCTTCCGGCCTAACCCGAATGTTAAATTTAAATTTTCCGCCCTGAACGAGTCCTAGTTTGCATCCGAACGCGGAGCTAATTTTTTCTTTTTTTTAAATATCCATTTCTTTCTTTAAATTTCTATTTCTTTTTTTTTTAAAAATTTACAATAAACGAAAATAGTCATCTGGTAATTTAATATCTTAAAAGATTTAATATTGTACTGCGGGCAAACTAACCCCCATTTTTTTTAAACATTACCTTAAACTCACATATGACGCATGCGCTTTGTACCAAAATTAGTTTTTATGGGGTGGGTTAATTAATTGGAACGAAATAAAAGATATTAAATATATATATCTGAGTCATTGAAATGAATGAATGAAAGAAATATTTTAAATTAATTTACACTCAAATTATTTAGAGATTTCATGGATATTTTAATCATCACCATTTTGTTATTTTTAAATGTTTTTTTTGGGGGGGGGGGAAATGGCATATCAGTTGTTATTATAAAATAAAATAATATTTTTGCTTGTTTGGGTCTTCAATCGATTTTATATAATATAATAGATTAATTCGTAATAATTGAGAAATTCATGTAAACCTTAACCCATATCTTTCCATTATTATTATTAAAATATATATATATTTTTTTTATAAATTTACAAGTATGGAAGAAGTAAAAAAGAAAGAAAAGGAAGAATGAAAGAAAGAAAAGGGATTAAGAAAGAAAAGGAAGAATGAAAGAAAGAAAGATAAAAAAAAACTCGTTTTTTAATTTGTTTATTATTCGAATTCGGGAATATCGATTCGAATAATTTTTAAATCCGTAAGGTAGAAAGAGAGAGAAAGAAAAGGTTATAAGCTATAAATTCGATACTAAAAATAAATAAATAAATGAATGGAAGAGCGAAAGAAGAGAATGAAATTAGGCAATATAAAAAAGAAACGAAAAATCGTTTTCGAATAATAAAAATACCTGTTACCAAAAAAGCCCCCCCCCCTGCCACTGTCCCTATACATTTTATTTTTGTCCTGCTCTTAATTTTAACCTAAATATCTCTTAGCGCGCAAACTCAGTTCCTCCCAAAAGCTGATGGGTAAAAAAAATTTTTTTTGAAATTATGCCTTTGGATTCTCTTTCCCCGCCTTAGGCTGGATCCACCGGATGGTAGTGTCAGCTCGATTTCGCGTATTTTTTTAAACCGGATTCACTCAAGATTTTTTAACCAATAATAAATTACCACAACAGGTGGCGGAAAGGTTTGGACACCTGTTGGCGAAATATTGAGGTTTTTAGGATAAAAATAAGTCGAGACATTTAACCAACACTACTCATAATGGCATTCGTCGATCCTCATTTGTCATTATTTTATTTATTGTTAAGTTCCAAAATGTCAAAAAAAATACTATTCGCAAAAAATATACGCTCTTTTTTGCGAATATAAAAATAAAAAAAACATGTCCAAAATATAAATTCTGATAAAAAATTTAATATACGATTTCGTTAAAATTTTAAAACTTTTGAAAGTTTTATAAAAAAAAAAAATTTCGAAAAAAAATTTAGGACATAGCTTAAAATATATATGTATTTTATTAAAAGCCTTACACTATGTCTTGTTTTTTAAAATAAAATTTTAATAACTCTTATTTTTCTTTAAGATATTAAGAGAATATGAAAGAGAGAGAGAAAGAAAGAAAGAAAAATTTAAGATATTAAGAAAGAAAGAAATAAATTTTAAGATAATAAGAGAATAAGAAAGAAAGAGAGAAATTTAAGATATTAAAGAGAATAAAGAAAGATATAATGAATGAAAGAAAAAATAAATAAATAAAATACTAAATTATTTTGAAAATAAATTATTAATATCATTACAAGTAAATACGAGACACCACACGACTCTTTAATGAGACACGAATAAAAATTCATCAATTTAATATATTTTGTAAAAAAATGAAAAAACGAAAATTGACTAAATAATTTATTCGCAATTATTATGTAATCTTTTTACGACCAGTCGCGTTTTTTTTCTAAAATATTTATCTGTCTTTTGTCATGTCTGTGGTTTTTTTTTATAAAAAAAAAGATGCGTTTAATATTAAAACAAAAATTGGAGGGGTTTTATTGATTATTTTATTGGGAATTTTCCGTGCCGGGTTTTTAAGAATTCGTTATTTGACGGCCCGAATACCGGGTTATCTCCGGATGAAAGATAAAATAAAATAGAGCGGAGAAATAAAGAAAAATTAATTAATTTAAAAATTTTAAAAAAAATTTATTATTACAATTGTTACGAACGATTTTACTGTAAACCAAAGTCATTCAACCTTAAATTAAAATATAAATTTTTTAAAAATAAAACTTTTATCGAGGAGATAAAAGTTGCTTTTTTTACTCTTTCACAGCTGGTTAGTTATAGTTATTTAAATAGAAAAAAATTACCTTTACTTTATATTTAAAAAAAATTTCCTAATTTTTTAAATTTATTATAAAATTCTAATCATTCCTCTAGGATTGGATTTTAATGTTGGGGCCATTTTTTTGCTTCTGATTGACACCATATCATCCTACAACGCTTTTTCGTAAATAATATAACCGATTTTATAATTTTTGATATACGATATATTTAAGGTTTTTTTTTAAAATTAATAGTAGAAGAGAAATAAAATGATTGGACAAAGAAAAAAAGAAAGAAAGAAAGATTTTTCGCAAAATGACATTTCGCGCCAATTTTTTTTTTCTGTACGCGATAATTCTTCCGTAACGGCCCATAATAATTTTTTTTATGAAGGAAAAAAATTCATAAAATTACCCAAATTGTAAACTTTTTTAAAAAAAATTTGCTCTTAGCCTGGACCTTAAACAGCTGACAGTTTTTTAAAATTTGAAATCATTATTTTTTCGATTATTATTTATTATTTACGAATTGAATAGAAGATAAAAATTGATCTACGGATTTTAAGAATCGATCAGCTGTTAAATCGCGATCGCAATCGCGCCATTATGATATTCAAGGTGATTCCGCTAAATATTTTGCGCAAATTACCCGCCGAAAATCTCTTTTTAGTTACGCGGCGGGCGGGGCTTAAGAATTTTACTCTAGATGGTAACTTTGTTTATGTATTAGATCGAAATAATTAAATTGGTTATCATTTATTAGATATTTATTTAATTTATTACGGGACATTTTTAACTCGGGGTGTGTCATCAATCCCACGTGGGTTACAAATGGCATACGAGGCCTGATTGGTCCATTAATCACAAATACTCTGATAATATCTTTTACGTGCCATTTTTTTTCTAAATATTTAAATAAAAGACACTAGCCACCCGGGGCGCGTTTCAAACAAAATTCAGCAATTACTGAATACTCTCAAAGTAATTTTAAAGTAAATAAATTTATAAAGAAGAAAATGAGAAAAGAAGGAAGAACGAAAGAAAGAAAGAAAGAAAGAAATCATAATATGAGAAAAAAAAAAGGGAGATTTGATTGGCATATTTTTATTTGTTTCTATTTTATGCAGAAGCCTCGGCAGAGACTCTTGGACGAATTTTTCAAGGACGAAGATTCGGAACTCGAAGGTAAATAATATTTCTTAGATTGTCATTATTTTATTTTTCGGTTATCGGGTAGCTCAAACCGGTTTAAACGGTAATCCGGACCGATGTATGTTATAGTATAAATTTTTTGTGTAGATTATCAACGCTCAAGCGAAACCGATTATCCGAAAGCCGAAGGATCCGTCATATCACCCACCATAGGACAACCCCTGACAGTTTATATCATTCTTTTTTCTGTTCTTATATATATATATATATACTACTAAAAAAATTTTGATTAATTTTACAATTCGGAGATCGGAAAAGAATGGAATGGATTGAGGAAGGAAGGAAAAGGGAAAATAAAGAAATGTATATCGAATAAATTATGATCCCCACCTTCTTTTTTTTTATGAAGCCACAAATCGGAAAGCCTAAATCCTTGGAGGAAGCGCTCATAAGGTACGGGGCAGCCACGCCAAAATGCCCGGCGTTTATGGTTCTAGACCCTAACACTCGAGCCTACAATACTCTCACCTACGGTTAGCGAAACTTATCTCATTTTCAAAATGGTCTCCGTTTTTTTCTCGGGGCTACTTTGTGAAAAGAACTAAAAAAAATGATGGCAATTAAAAAAAGAAGATGGGAAAGAGAAGAAAGGAAAAGCGGTGAAAAGAGAAAATGACGTCAATGTGTTATTTTTTTAAAAAACCTTATATTATTTTTTTTGAGCCTATTTTTTTTAAAAAGTTTTTAAAAAAAATCTGATTTTACCGGAAATGTATGCCGCCATGTTTGGAATACTATATACCACGTGGATCTCAGACAATCTTTTCCACGAACTTTCATTTAAAAACCTTAACATCGATTATATTAAAATTTTTCCTTATATTTTTTTAATGTAAATTTATAAATGACTCCAAAGGTTAACAGCAAAATTGTCTACTGCAATTTCCTTGAGTTGGACCATAAAATCACTTACGATAACCTAACTCGATTTGCCAAATTATTTTTATTTTTTTTTTAATAAATTTTATTTTGAAAATGTTTTAAAATGCTTTTTTTTTTCGTTCTCATTACTGCTAAAAAAACCTTATTTTTTTTTTTAAGAATATTTTTTTCTTTTTTTTTTACATCTATTATATAGGTAAATTCTTGAGGAGGGCTCACAAAATATCCTATTGCTTGCTCAACAAATGGCGCTCTCAGGGCCAAATTTACCTCAAACCTGGTGACAGGGTAAATACTAATTATTAATAAATGAAAGAAGGAAAGAAATAAAAGAAGGAAAGAAAAGAAAAGAACCGTTTTGTAAGTATATTAATTTTTTTTTTCTTGTCGGCACAAAATTAAACTAAATACGAAAGGTAGCCTTGGTTTACCCGAATACGAACCCCGTGTCCTTCGCTTGCGCTTTTTACGGCTGCCTTCTCTCCGGATTCGTTCCAGTGCCGGTTGACGTTCCCTTCTCCAAAAGAGTAATTTTTAAAAAAAAGATGGCCGTAATAAATTTTAATTTGCTATCAAAAAACAATAACTCGATACAGGACGCTTGCTTTCAGCAAATCGGATTTTCCCTTTCGTCTTGTAACGCCTGTTTAGCCCTAACATCGGACGCGTGTTTGAAAGCGTTGCCCAAAATATTCGGCGAGGCCGAGCGCAAGGCGAACCGCGGTCAATCCACTTCCGCCCCGCCACAATTTCGGGAATCCCCTTTGGGAAATTTGACGCCCGTTCAAAGTTTTATGAGCATTCTTTTTTTAGCTCCATATATATTTGCAGAATTAGAAAAACGAAAATAAAATGACAAAAAAAATCTAACATATCATTATTTAAGAAATAAAATCCCATTTTCGCATAACACGAGACATCTCATAATATATCATTTTACCCCGTATCCCCAGGTCCGGATCCTATGTGCCACAACGGAACTTCCGGTGAAGGTAATAACCACAAAACGACCACATTTTCCGCCAAAAACGTGAGCGAGGGCGGTCTCGAAATCAAGGGTTACAAGTCGTGGCCAACCGTAACATGGTTTTCCGCCGAAAGGATCCCTTGCAAGCCTCCGAAAGGTTTTTTCTTCTCTCCCTTTATTATACACAATTTAAATACTCGCAGAGGTATTCTACGTATTATCCCTGTTGCGGATGTAAAAACAAAATTAAATTTCCGGTCAGGCCATTTTTAGTAATCGCTTATTCCTCCCCTTCTCCCCCAAGGTAAAAATAAAACTAAATTTAATGCTAACTAACCCCTTCCATAAATAAAATTTATTTGGGAGGATGAGCCTACAGGTCTCTACTGTCCTCTATCTCTAGTATAATGTTTTGTTTAAAATGAAGGTTATATAATAATAAAAGGGGAGGGGGGGGGGGTTGGTGGGATGGATGGAGCTAAGATATAATTCAAAGAAGATTATAATCGAGTTACGGTAATAATGTCTAAAACACAAAAAAATGTGTTTAGGTTGGCAACCCCCTGGACATAACGAAATGTACCATAACGACATAGAAAGAAATGGTCATATTGGCGAAGACGACGTAGCCTATATCGAAGTGACGAATTTGTTTTACATATATATTTATATTTTTTTTTAAAGTGACCTTTATAGTCATTGAAAAGGTCAACTTAAATTCGTTCTCTTTTAACTGGGTTACATCATATTTTTCTCCTTTCAATTAGCGCGGTCCTTGATTTAGCTATAAGAAATAGGAGTTCTCATATCTAGTTCCCAAATTGTATATTTGTGACCGTATTGGGGGGGGGGATCTTAAACCACCCTTCAGATGTCGATGTATTGTCGAATGCTTGAATATTGTAAGTTGCTTCTAGTAGGCCGAAGATTAGTTGGGATCAAGATCCTTTTCTGCAGGAATTTCTTCCATTCACCTATCCCTTTACATCGAAATTTTAAAAAAAAATTATAATCGACGTTAAAATTAATATTTTTCATACTTCAAACTCCGAATTTATTGGAATCCCCTGATTGACACCAAAAAAGAATCGATCAGTAAACCCATATTATTGTAGCACACCCCACTACTGCATTATTTTAAATAACGTGAGATGGAGATAGAACAATATTATAATAAAATTCCCTACCGAAGGATATTATTTTTTATTTTGTCGGGAAAATAAAATACGACATTTTTTTTAGCATTCCACCAGCGTAGATCGAAGCGTGAAAGGGGTGTGCGTTACCAAATCAGCCATGCTGAATCATTGCAAGGCGCTCACCATGGCTTGCAATTACAAACAAGGTTTTATTTTTATTTAGTTCAATTTTAAATCGATGATTTGTCTACCCTCAGTTGTGCCAATGACATAATAATACCTAGGCTGACGACGATATATTCATAATGCATTTGAAAGCGTCGTTGAATGCAAATCAGCTGGATCCGCCATTTTGGTAGCCTATATAGAAATTATTCTCAAGTTAATAACTACTATTAAATTGATAACTTGCTTCCTTATTATGACGATGATCAGGCAATTTTCTATGATAAAGTTTGCGTCAAGACATAGGAATAAATTGGCCTCTCGTTGAAATTTTTTTAAATAATGATATGGGTAACCAAAATGGCCTCCCCAGCTGTTTTCATTGATGTACACTTTTATTGAATGCATCGTCAGACTAGGCATTATTATATGTCATTCAGTTGTACATACTTAGAAGTCCTCTTAAGCAACCATTTTATGGTTTTTATTTTAAAATATATGTCCAAAATAGAATAAAAATTTTTAAAAAGTGTCAACTTAGTCATCGTGTACACCATAAAATGGCATCTACAGCTGACTCCTAAAGTATTCTACACTTTTAAATGCATTTTAGCGAATAAATCGTCAAATCTAGTTCGTATATATTATAATATAATATGTATCGGTTTAAATCATTAAAAAAAATATATTTCAGGTGAAATTATGGTGTGCGTTTTGGATTTCAAAAAAGATGTCGGGCTCTGGCACGCCATTTTAACGGTAAAAAAATTTTCTTCTAAAATTCTAGAAATTTCGATTTAAAAAAAAATTCCCCCCCCCCCCTCTCTCTTACAGTTATTTTTTTTTCCTTTTCTTTTTAGAAAAAAAAAATTGATATGATTTTTTTCTAGGAATTGGGTTGCTTAATCTATGTTTTACTATAATTATTTTATTCTATCCCCGGTCGGGCCAATAAGGTCCGGGGTAAAAAAGCCCTAGAGATTTCGGTTCAGGTTTGTATTTTTCAAAAAATAATGTCAAAATGGACACCCGCTTACCGATTTTTTTTTTAAAAAAATTTGTTTGTTTTTTTTTTGTTTATAAAAGAGCGTTTACAACGGGATGCACGTGATATTCATTCCTTATTCCCTCATGAAGGTTAACCCCGCCATCTGGATGCACATGATCACCAAATTCAAAGGTCTCGCTTTATTCATTATTTTTCAGAGGACCTGCAAAATGTTAAAACTTAGCCGGTTTCTTTATCTTTGATCATTTACGGCCCCTGGTGTGGCCTACAGCCCACTGATTTTTGGCGCCATTTTAACTATCCGCTCTAAGTTAGTTTGTATTAAATATGTCACATTAAATTCGATGAGGAGATTTTATTAAAAAAATTAGTTTTATTTACAATTTAAATATATGTTGACGTTTTATTTAACGAAAGAGACGCCTTGCATATATTATATTATATTATATATCTTGCCGTTATGGTTTATCGAATGACATATAACAATACCTAGACTGACCCCTTGTCATATATTATATTATATATTATATATCTTGCCGTTATGGTTTATCCAATGACATATAATAATTCCTAGACTGGCGATGCAATAACGCATTTGAAAGCGTCGTTGAATGCAAATCAGCTGGATCCGCCATTTTGTTAACTCATATAGGTAATTATCAGAGTTGTTAAAAGATACTTTTTAAATGGATCTAGATACAGATACATCGTCTAAAATAATATCTAGATACAGATATTTTAATCAAATATCTATCTAGATACGATACAGATACCACATTTTTATATCTAGATACAGGATCTAGATATTTGTATCTAGATCCTTTAACAACTCTGGTAATTATTGTTAAAATAAAAACTATTAAATTGATAACTTGCTTCCCTATTGTCTCGATGATCAGGCAATTCTTTAATAAAGTTTGCGCCAGACATAGGAATAAATTGGCCTTTTGTTTAAAATTTTTAACAAGGATATGGATAATCAAAATGACGTCCCCAGCTGTTTTCATAGATGTACACTTCTTTTATTGAATGCATCGTCAGTCTAGCTATTATCATGTATCATTACTCTTGTTTATGATTTATTTTTTTATTAAAAATGGCGAGAAAGCTAAATTTTTTTTATTTTTTTTATTCTACTGTTAACACGTGGAAGGAAAGAAAGAAATGAAAAGGGAGAAAATATTCATTTATTGACAAAAATTAAATTAAATTTATATCATGTCCATTCTAAGCCAGCGCGGCCATAGTGAAATCCAGGGACCTGCATTGGGGTCTGCTCGCTCATAAGGATCACAAGGATATTAACCTCAGTTCGCTCAACGTATTAATCGTGGCCGACGGTAGTAACCCTTGTAAGAGTTATTATCTTTTTTTTTAATTATCGATTTAATATTTCGTTTCATTTGCATTTCGAAAATGAAATCGTACAAAATAAAAATTTGCATTTTAAATTCCTTTATTTTTTTTAATCTTGTTAACCATACGAACACCCGTAATTGTTTCCTTTGACCGATTCGTCAACCGCGGTATTCCCTGTCCAAGAGAAGAATCGAGACGTTTGTAAGCGGCGAAATGATTTTTTACGATATTAGTAGAAATACTAGAAGAGCTACAAGAAGAGCGGATATATGAACACAGAGAGGATGCCATATGTATCTACAAGACCAAAAAGGTCTGGGCGTGTGGTGGAGACCACCTGATGAGATTTGTTCATAGGAACTCAGAGGGGATACCTTAGATATATCTACATGATCAAGAAGATGTTGGGCGTGTGGTGGAGACCATCTTTGTGAGTTGTTCCGAACACATTATAGCCAGTAAACAATGAATCAGTAATAGGGAGTACCGCTATTGATTGAATCAGCAAAAAGAGCAAATAAGGGTGTTCTTATGATTAACAACAAATTAAGGGAGAAAGGATGTCGCGATTATCATCGACAAAAAAAAGAAGTTTATATACAAATTTTATTTCGTAAAAGTTAATCGAAAATGAAAAGAAATGAAAGGTTGGTGTCATATTTGTCATATTATTTTGTTTAATATTTATCGCATTTATAAATAGTCGCCTGATTTTATATATCACGTGTAGAACACGTGATTTCTTTGTCCCAAAAAAAAGTATAAAAGGGACGAGATTTTAATAATAATAAATGACTTTTTGATTTTTTTTTGTAGATATATGTATTTGGACAATAAAATTTTTGGTTTAACAAAAGGATATTATATTATACGAAATTAAGGAAGAAAAAGAAATTATTTTCATTTTCAATATGTAAATGAAACGAGTATGTATATATAGCGCTATTGTATTATTATAATTGGGGTGGTTTTTGAATCGTTAAAAATTGGAAATTTCTCTTATATTTCTTAGAAAATTTTAAAAATAAATTTGAAATTGATATTAATTATTAAAGAATAAAATGTTATAGAATAAATTGTGGGCGATTGTATTGAATAAACACGTGTTGTTGATGGTTAAGAATATTAAATAAAGTTCTTTATTTTCCAAAAAGATAAAAAAAAAGGTTAGAACATTATCATAATCATCTTGGTATATATACAAAATTAACATCAATTTAATATTAAAATATCATGTAATATGACGTTTTTTAGCCTTAAACCTTCTACAATACAAAAAATCTATTAATAACATTGTTACTTCAATACAACCAATCTATTAATATGCAACATTAATAAATGATAAAAGTATGTAAACACTTGTATTTAAGTTGAGTTATCAGAAAAATTAATTGCTAAAAATAAGTGGAAATAATATCCCATTGCTCCCAATTTGATTACCAATTTGGGAAATTAAACTGGTAATTTGGATGATATTTCCTCTATTTTTAGCCATTTTTTAAAAATCTCAACTTAAATACAAGTGTTTACTCCCCTGACATCTATTAACATCAGTTATTTTATAGGAGATGATATAAGAGAGATTCCCAATTTTTTAGCCTTTGTTTTAGCGATTTAGAACGGGAACCATCATATTGAGAATCTATTTTTCACTTTTATACATAAAATAAATTAAATCTGTTAATAAAATTATTTTTTTTGGGTTAAATTTTTAAAGTTTTGTATATTTTTTTTTTGTTTGAAATTAATTAAAATTGAATAAACATACAATTCGATTAATATCAATTTTATTTTATAATGAGAATTATTATTAATTTCATATCTTAAATTACCAAGAAAAAGAATTAAAATGAAGACAAAAAAATTGTAATCATTAAAAAAAAAAGCTAAAAATACCCCTTCTTTCCAATACAAGAATGGATAAGGAAAAAAAAAAAATAAATGTAAAGAAATTTAAATAAAAAGAAAATAATTCTTATAGATATACTCATTTATTTATGAATATAAAATAGGGTCGCTCTCATCCGCCGACGCCTTTTACCAGGCCTTCAAGAATAAGGGCCTGCGACACGAAGCCATATGTCCCTGTTCCGGTTCTCCGGAATCGTTAACCCTATCCGTTAAAAGGTATTCATTTAGCAAATAATTCCTATACTTACATTACCCAATTCTAACCTTCAGTTCCATTGTTCCATCTGCGCGCCCTTCAATCAAACCTTCCCATTTTTTTGATTGGGTCTTTTCTGGTGTCATTAAATCACCTAACTTTGGGCGCCTAATCCCAGCATTCAAGCCTTTAGCTTTAAAAAATGATTTGAACTTCTAAGTCGAGCCTTAAAAATTGAGTCGTGTACTACCTTTTTTATTCTTTATTCCTCTCGTTTTTTCTTTTCTTTTAATTTTATTTCCTTTTTTTTCATTCTTCTTTGTTTTCATTATTTTGCAATTCTTTCTTTTTCATTTCATTTCATTTCATTTCTCATATATATATATATATTTACCCAACATTTACTCTAAAGACCGATTCCTACCATCCCGAATCCCGCTTGCAATTCCTCCCTCGATAATTCGATCGATCTTTCGCCGTCTTTGGAAGAGGAACATGCCGAGAGGATTCACAACCGAATAACTCTATCGATGTCCCACCTGAGCCACGGGCTGATCAGGGTAGACCCCCATAATAGTCTAACCTCCCTAACGTTGAGGGGTCTGGGCCAACCTTTACCGGGATGTAAGATGATATGTACACCTTATCTCCTTTAATTTGATTCGTTGAAACTTTAAATTTTATATCATTTTAATGATCGATTTAATTCATCTTATCGCAGCCGTCGTAGTGGTAGTCGAGGTCGAAGGGGACCCCACCCTGTGCAAGTCCGATCAGATTGGCGAGATATGCGTGGCCTCCGATTCAACCGCCAGCTCTTATTGGGGATTGAAAGGATTGACCAACTCCAATTTCAAAGTTATATTTAGTGCCAACTCTTTCCGTTCTTCTTTTAACATTATAATAAATTACCACCTTTTATGGCTTACTTAATGGTTTCAGTTCAGAAAAACCCCCAATTTTTATATCTTTGGAAGAGTCCTAACCTTTATGGCTGAACTGTTGAGATAATCAACCAAAATGCCAAAGGGGAAATTAGTGATAATATATAGATATATAATATATTACATTAAAATTGTACGCGTTGTAAGTAAATTGATTGGTATAGTGTTGTTAAGCTGGCCGACCCGATTTTGGGCCGATGTTTAATAAACGGCCCGATTGTGATTTTAGGCAAAATAATATTAGGTGTAAGTCCGGAGAATTCGCTCGTAGATGGCAGAAATGGTTTGGACTTTTATTTTACTCGAATCTCTGGGCTCGCATAATATTATTCTGGCTTGAATCTTAATCCGGGCCGCTAAGAACTTCTTCAATGGCGATTTCAATGTTTACCCAGGTTGGCCTGTTTTCCCTCTGATTTGATCATCAGGAAATTTTGTAGCAAGGTTTTTACAATCGGATACCCTTCTTGACATCAACCACACTCCGTTATAAAAATTGATTTGTTGCGCCTTGAAAAATTTAATATACCGTTTCTTTTTGACGAAAAGGCGTTTAACACTACCTTCCAAATTTAATGGGATTTTAGAGATAGAACGTCGTAATTAAGTGACTCTAGCACCAACACCGAAAAATTTTGAAAATTAAGGAGACCCTTGCCCTCATTGGCTCACATTAACTTCGATTTTATATCACGTTTTTTTTTAAAAAAATTTAAGGCTGGCCCTGATTCGTAGTTTTTTTTAATCGCCTGATTAATTTGATATACGTTATTTATTATTAGTCCAGCCAGATACGTATAATTTTTTTGGCTCGTTCGGGGACCGGGGCTTGGTGGTCTGATATTTATTAATTTACGCAAGCGCACATTGCCCCCCCCCCCCCCCCCCCCATATATCCTTATATATATAATTCTAATTTTTTATTTCGAAACATAAGGTTCAGCCTTTGGATAGGAGCGGCCTTTCAATCAGCGATAAAATATTCGTTCGGACAGGGTTATTGGGCTTTGTATCGCCAGTAAATTTATTGTTTTATTCTTTCTTCCTTTCTTTTCCTTTCTTTCTTTCTTAAAAAAATAAATAATAAAGTACACATATTAATAGAGGATTTATTTGTAATAAGAAATTTTACAGGATTTATTGAGATGGGGTCCATTTTGTTTATCTTTGATCCCAACACTTCTGATAAGTTAAAATTATTACTTTTCTTCCGATCACTACTTTAAAATAGTTTTGTTTTTTTTCTCTTTCAAAAAAAAAAACAGTAAATTATAACTGACCAAAAATCCTAATTTTTTTTTTTTTGAAATTTAAGCTCGGGTCCGTTTTCGTCAATGGTTGTCGCGAGGGCCTCATGACGGTCAGTAAAAGGAGGCATAACGTGGACGATTTGATAGCGACGGTTCTCGCGGTGCAGCCCATGAAATTCATATACCGTGGAAGGTTTGTCTTGTTTTTTTATCGCTAAATTATATTATTTGTTTCCATACGATTTTTGAGGTAAATGGCGCGAATGTTTTACAAAACATATCCGACTCCGCTATAATTTGGTAATCTGCATAATCACCTTCCGCCCGCCCTCCCCCCATCCCACCCTTCTTTCTTATATTTTTCTGTTTGGCTCTAGATTTTATCATTTATTTTATTTCATTTTTATAAATAATGGGGAAAAAAATAGTTATTTCAAATCAAATTTTTTTGTAATTATTCAACCCCGTTCCTTGTGGAACTTCTTGCATTTAAAAACTTTATTAATCATTCGGATCTGAATCAAATTGGTTTTGTTAGAATATTTCATATGAATACAAATATTATCCAATTTATATTATTTTTTTTTAGTTAAGCTTCCAGGGAATGTCTTTAAGTAGTAAAGAAAGAAAGAAAAGAAAAAAAGAATATAATCAAATTTTACAATGTTTCTTTTTAAAAGGCTCGCCATCTTTTCCGTCAAAGTTCTCCGAGACGAACGAATAGTCATAATAGCCGAGCAAAGACCCGATTGTTCCGAGGAGGATGTAAGGATCCTTATTTATATATATAATATCCTAAATACGGTTTGGAACAGCTGATCATAACCACCACCCCCTCTTCCGTACCATTTAAAAAAAAGAAGATAATGATCGATAAGGTGGTGCAGGGTTCGAACCACCACTTGAAAAATTAGATATCACATACATATACTATTATAATAAGCAAGATTTATTGGAATATCGTATTCCTGTATTATTATTTTATTTTTTTTTAAAAAAGAGTTTCAATTGGATGAGCCGGGTACTTCAAGCCATTGACAGTATTCATCGAGTCGGGGTATATTGCCTGGCGTTAACGGCCCCCAACCAAATTCCTAAAGTAAATAAAATTCTAATTGGTTTATATTTTTACCGTATTTTTTTTTTTATTTCCGTACGATATAATCTTAAAGATTTGGGTATACGGGAATTCATAGAAATATTGGGAATATAGATTGGCAGGTTTGCTGGGAAATTCCTTTCAATAATTTAACAACTACATTTTACGACTTTGATTATATACTAGATTTTTAATTTTCTTCAATAAATAATTCAGACATCTTTGGGCGGCATCTTGATAAGCGAAGTTAAGAGGAAGTACTTGGAAGGATGCTTACATCCGGTCAACATACTCATGTGCCCCCATGCCTGCGTGCTTAATTTGCCCAAACCTAGGGAGAGACCTCCTGGTAAAGTATATTCTCCAACAATTATATAGAATGAATAGGAAAGAAATGGAAACCCGAAGATAAACATTTAAATTCCTCAGTTTTTTGCTCATTTATTTTTCTTCATGAAACAGAGGTGTCCCCCGGCTCTCAATACGTGGGGAATATGGTGAAGGGCGAACGGTTCGCTACGGCTCAGGGACTTAAAAAGAGCTCTTATTTGGATAAGGACGAGAATATTAAAGTAATACTTTTTGCGATAACATTTTAACTCCATTTTTTTATTTCTGGCGGTTACTATCCAAAAATCGTCTGTTTTTGTACTGTTCTTTTTTTTTTGAGAAAAAACCCCCCGCTAAACCAAGTTTTCTTTAGCTGAAGAAAATTACCATCTCATCCTGGAGGTAAACCGGGGGGTTTTAATCAACTTAGTTAATTTTTGCGATTCGGAGCCTATACGCATTTCGACGCGATATTTGCTCGAGCGATTTTGGAAGTTAACATCCGAATCGCTAAGTACGCTTTAATTCTGAAATGGCCTAAGGATCGTGTCGCATTTTATCTTTCGCTAAAGAATGAATAAATTATTTTTTTTTCAAAATTATTTATTGCCATCTCTCTCAGGGTAACAAGTCAATCACCCATTCGCTCAAATGGCGAGCTTCGAATAGCCCGGAAACGGTTGCCTTTAACCTATTATCTTCTAAAGTAAAAAAAAATTTTTTTAAAAAAAATATTCATCTGGAAGGAATGAAAGAAAGAAAGAAAGAAAGAAAGAAAAGAAGGAAAGAAAAAAGAAAGAAAGAATGAAACCTATATTATACCGTTTTGTTTTATTTACTTATTTTTTTTTGATTTACCGGAAGGCGGCATTGTCGACCAGCCTCACCTTTTCGCAACTTCACAAAAAGGCCGAAAAGTTGGCTTGCTTCTTGTCCGAAAAATCTGGCATAATGGTCGGTGATCACGTGGCATTGTTGTACATCCCCGGTATGCGTAATTTAACCCTTTCATTTCTCTTTTTTTAAAAAAAACTAACTAACATTTATTTTAATAAGGTTTAAAATTGTCTAATTTGAGCGGAGATTAAAATTGTCTAATTTGAGCGGAAGTTAAAATTGTCTAATTTGAGTCATAGTCATTTATCGAAATTGTTGAAATTCTCATAATTTTATTTTGTTAAAACAAAACAGGTTTGGACTTCGTATCTTCCTTTTATGGATGCCTTTATATAAGTAATGGTCAACTTAATAAATTGAATAATTACACATTTACTTTCGAAGATAGTAACGAATGAAGTTCCTTTTCTTTAAAAAAAGTAACGACGTTACTTTACAGCGCGCTATTTTTTGATATATATAGCAATTACTTATTTTATTTTTTTTAAAAAAAAACAATACTTTTAAATTTGATTGCCATAATTCATAATACAAAAAGCTAACGTCAATGATGTTATTTCTAAATGTTGAGTTCGAACATTTGCGATGATCGATCCACCCAAATATTTAAAAATTATTTGAATCTTTATTGCGATCGGTGGATAAGACCATTTGATATCTTTGTAATTCTTTTGTTCTTGTAAAGCTTTGTATGGCCCTAATGAAATAATGAGATATTAGTTTTCGATACAAATTACCACTTATTTTTCGAATTTAATAACCCGAAAAACGCTCCAATTCTTCGGGTAAGATGACATTGTATCAATATACTCATTTACATGAATGCCGAAACTGCTTATAACATCTGCCCACAAATTGACCAATCCAAAGGACAACATTTGTACTATTGGCGCCTAAATATAAATGATGATAAAACGAATATATTATTTTATTTTTTTAAAAATTACCTTTTAAGATATGGTCCCGGTGCCTATACGCCCATTTAACGCTGGCAACGTGGCGTCTACTCTAACGACCATAAGGCTCATCGTTGAAATCAGCAAAGCCAAGTTGATTCTGACATCATCCTACCTCCATAAGCTCATCAAATCTAAAGTAACACAATGCATGAGCTTTACATTGTCATTTCCCGCGAAAACACTGTCAAATGCATTGCCACGAAAAATATTATGTGCCATGTTTTCGCGGTTTTACACTCGCCGTAAGTGTAGTAAATGCATTTATGGGGAAAAATGGCGTAATACGCATATTGTATTATATAATATTTATGGAAGGAAGTTAAAAAAATTATACTATACCACAAGGGAGAGCGGATTTTCAGGATTGTCAAGAAGGATTTATAGATTGATTGATGTGTTCTCTTTTTTTAAAAAAATTTACCCTACGTCGAAGGCCTTTTTTTAAACTTTTCATTGGCTCCGATCTATTTTTCATGTAAGTCCACTAGGAAAGATGGGACTTGAGACAGTTGCATCGTAAATAGATTAAAAGCTAACGAACAGTTAAAACTTAAAAAGAAATAGAATTTCAAAAATTGGCAGCTTTTCCATTCAGAATTTTTGTTGAATATAAATTTATAAATAGGAAGCAAACTCTATCATAGACTACAAATCCTGGCCTCCCATAGTTGAAACAGACGACTTGCCCAAGAAAAAACAAAATTGGACTTCGGAAAGTTTCCTGAATCAGAACTATAACCGCGTTTCCAAAAATAATCCCAAGATCGAACCAATCCCTAATGGGGATACTGAGGATAGTATTGGCAATCGGATATCGAATAAGACCGATACGGCTTATCTAGACTTCAGCGTGAGCACTAACGGGACCCTCATAGGCGTCAAAGTAATATACATACCAAATAAAGTATTGAAATTATTATGTCGATTCGGTGAGTATATGATTGATCTATCTTCATAATGATGAATTTGAATTATTAGCATTTGTTTTACATAAAATTTTCTAGTCAGATTGTGATATGATTTACTAGAAGTTATAGGTTTTAGAAATATTATCCATTTTCCTATTTGGCTAATTCTTGCCATATCACATTTTATAATGATTTAATATAGTAACATCTAAGTCACCTTACTTTAAGAAAATGTTTAATATGTTTTATACTTATATTATTTTATTAGATTGTGACATATCTCGATTTGTATGTTAGTATAGATGAAAATCGTCTTTAGATAATATATCTATATTTTTTTCGAGAGTGGCAGCGCTCACTTGATTGACCAATTCAGCTTAGTTCTTTATAGCTGTACTTTATTTCTTATTAATCTCTATATTTCAGTACAACCTTTTTTTTTACATAATTAATGAACGACCGACAAGATAAGCCACGTAGCTCTCGTGAACCTCTGCAAAAGTTTGAAAGTCGCTTGCGAGCTATATCCTTCCCGCTTGATTTCTCTGTGCTTGGACCCTTACTCAGGGTTGGGTCTGCACCTTTGGTGTTTCGATAGGTTAGATTTCTTACACGTATATTTAAAAAAAATATGTTTTGAACTATAAACAATTTTTTTTATAAAAAAAGATCAAAATATCCTTTTTTTGAAAGATTATTTGGGAATATTAGGCGCAGAGGATAGGTGATATAATGACATATAATAAATCAGCTGATGACATTGACAGGCCATTTTGATTTCCCATAGAAGAGGATTTTTTTTTATAAATTGAAACTTGATTTTTTTTAAAAAACAAGTTTTCATGAACCTTTAGTTAAAATTATTTACGGAAACAAAAATGGCGTATCACCAGTTGGTTTGTATCAATACATATTAAAATGAATAGATCGTCCGCCAATCATAGATAGTTAGCGGTGTTGTTAAATGCTCGATTTGAGTCGATTTTTAAACGACCAATTGGATATTTTCGCCAGAAAAATAGTTTTGAATCTCGAAACTTCGCTCATGAATGTCCAAACCTTTGTGCAGAGTTGTTACGCGCTACTTTTAAAAGTAGCGCGCTACCGCTATCGCTATTTGTCGAAAAAAGTAGCGCGCTATTAGCTACTATTTTTAAAAAGTAGCTTTAGCTACTTTTTAAGCTACCTTTTGTTAAAAAAAATTACAAACAAATTTTTTATTTTTTTGCTTATAATGTTATTGTATAATAAATATATAAAAATCAACATTTATAAATATTAAAATATAGTTCGTTTTGATTATAAAAAAAATTATGTAATAAAAATAAATATTTATGGTAATTTGTTGCATTATCATCCCCAAGTCTAGAGCGACGATCAGAAAGTATAAATTTTGCCTTATTAAATAATCTCTCGACACTAGCACTTGAGGGTAAGGGCGTATTTAATCTTATATACATATTTTTAATATAAGATAGATTATCAATAATTTTATTTGTAAGTACATCGTATGTCTAACATCCTATTATCATTTTGAGGGCTAATGCCACAGATCTTCTTTTTAAAGTTCTAGGGTCTAGCTGTGATTTCAAAATAAGCTCAAAAATATTTAATCAGATTAATTTATAAATATAAATAAGTTTTTACCTTCTGTTGTGTGTTCAACTATCTCCGTGGTACATATATATGATATCTCTGATAACTCTATTATTAGAGCATCTTTCATCATTTTAAAGTTATCTGCTATTTTATCCATTAGTGTCTGTCGGCATAAAATTGTTGTACCAGGGGATAGAGTTTTAATCATCATGGTAAATGATGGATTATCAACTAAGAACATTGGCTGAACTGTATAAATTATAAAATCAACTTATCAGCCAATTTCTGAGAACTATTGTCATTTGCATTATTAATTAATTTGGTTTGAATTGAATTAGTCTTTTTGGATGTAGAGTCGCCTATACCAAAATTATTTAGATGTTTCTCCATTTCCTTAAAACTCATGAACAGTCTTATAAATTAAATATTATTAGAATGTAAAAATGACAATTTACCTTTAGGTGTTTCTTGAGGTTGATTTGAGGAATATTTTTTTTTACATTTTAAACAAATAAATTTGAAACCAGTTTTGGTTATACATTTATTTTAAAAAATTTTCAAATCTAGGGAATGGGAAATTTGTATTATAGCTATTAAGAACATTTTCTTCCCTGGTATCTTCCATTTCATTAATATCATTGTCTGAATCACTTTCAACGATTTGGATATCCATAGGCGATGACATTTTAAATTATTAACACGTGATTTAGGTTTATAATACAAATGAAAATATAAATTACAAATTGAAATTATATTTTAATTTCAAAATTGAATAATAAATCATAAAAATTATAATTAATTATGATATTATATTTAAATTTTTATGTTTACACTTACCTTCATTATATTTTTTAAAAGTAGCGAATTAGCGGCTACTTAGCTTCTTTCAAAAAAAGTAGCGCGCTAAAAAATTAAATAATTACAAAAAAAGTAGCCGCTATTAGCTATAGCTACCAAAAAAGTTAGCGCAGCGCGCTACTTTAACAACTTTACCTTTGTGCCATCTACGAGTGATACATAAGGCTCTACTATTATTTTATTATAGACAAAATATTGAGTTAGCCGTTTTTAAAAAAGAAATGGGCACAGATCGAGCCGTTTAGCAACACTGGATAGTATTTTGATATCATTGAGATGGCCATATCAAGTGATTTCATTTTTTTTTCCATGTCTCCTTCTGCAGGAACAACAACACATATCCCTTGTTAGAGATCCCCTCAGCCCGAGAAATTATATTACAGTGGTTCCCCAACCCCGGTCCATATATTAATTCACATTTTCCGAGATTTTTTTAAAAAATAAATCCCGGCATAGCTCGGCTCGAATAGTTATTTTTTACGCAAGCAAGACGCCTGGTTTACATCAGCTGATTTTATAGTAACTATATCGTCAGATATTAAAAAAAATTGTTTTTTTTTAAATTAAAGCGTCTACTCTGGTCATCAAACAATGCTGATCGCACCTGCCGAATTGGATATGCATCCTTTCCTATGGCTGTCGGCTATTAGTCAATACAAAAGTTTATATCATCAATTTATTTTATTCCATTATTTTTTAAACATTATTAATTGCGATTTGTCTTAATTTTAAATTTAGACGGTCGCTATTTTACTGATCGCTTTCCTTTTACGCCTCGGACGTCGTAAAGAGTCTTTAAAAAACAATTTCCGTTCGAAAAATTTTTTCGTTTTTGTTAAAAGCAAAATATCTTAATTTTTTTTTCGTAGTTTTGCGCATGCTCGTTTCATAACTTTATTTTAAAATATGCATACATCTCGGAACAGCGTCTAATTTAGGAATCAGAACTACTTTAGTACCAGAACCTGTTTTCGTATCCTCTGATTCATTATGAAATCTAATTTAATTCTATATTTTATATGCGCACCCCGCGCAAGACAATGTTGTCATGCCAAAATGGATACCAATATGTGTTGGACCAATCAAAATGTTTCTTATTTTTTTTATTTTATATAAAAAATATATATAATTTATTATAAAGTCCGTGATACCTTTTGCTCGTATTCGGTGATTGACGCGTGCACCAAATACTTTGCCGACGAGTCCAATATGCTAAAGGTTTATTTTTAGGCTAACTCTATTTTTAATGTGTCATATGTTTTTTGATGGAAAGTTCTAATAAAAATTATATAAGCATCTAAAGTAAAAGTTTTAAATACCGCTTTACCCAGAATTCATAATGGCGTGATAGCGATCGCGATTTAACAGCTGATCAATTTTTTAAATCTTTTTATAAGAAAAATTGATCTCATAAACAGATTTATAAGAAATACTGTCAGCTGTTTAATCGCAATCGCGCCACTATGAATTCTGGGTTAAACGTAACGTAAAAATGGGAAATATATAATATTGTCTTAATAAACTCGTAATTTTTATGGCCCCCTTTCTTCTCGGTATATGTAATACATAACGACAAAAGCTGAAAAACAACAACGTCGACTTATCTTGCCTTCGCAACTGCGTCGTAGTAGCGGAAGAAAGACCTAGAATGGAATCGACCCAATCCTTTTCCAGACTTTTCTCCGTTCTCGGCTTATCGCCTAGATGCCTCAGCACCTCGTTCGGTTGCAGGACCAACGTGGCTCTTTGCCTGCAAGTAATTAATACAAAAAATTTAAAAAAAAACGCAACGCGTCCCTCGTTTAAATTTAAGTTGTCTTTTTTTTTATTAATATCCGTCGATTCGAAATTTTGAATAAGTTTCTAAAAAAAAAGGATTCGTTTTCGAAAATTATAATTATCGTCTGCGTTCTTATTTTCTTTAATTTCTAAATATTCATTTTTTTAGGATATAAGTAAGATATTTATACTACATTTTTATATAATATTACAAAGCGAAGAATTAAAAAAAAAGAAGTATTTCGCGTTTTTTTTAAAATGGTTTCTAACGCCCAAACGGTAATTTTACGAATTTACGCGAGGCCATTTTTAAAGGCATTATATTTGCGCTTGCAAACGCAGCGTTTGAAATCGCTCAATTTGTGCTCACTAAATTAAATAAGGAAGGCGTAGAAAAAAAACGAATTTATTTTTATCTTTAGGCGAGCCCAAAAAACTTATATAAAAGAGAAAAAAATATTATAAAATTTTTAAATTTTAAGGTGATTAATTTTAAGCTAATTTTAGGAAATTTTAACATTACTACAGGAAATTAAATCTTATTTAAATGATTTAAAAATTGATATGAAGAAACATATTTTGGTCAAAAAATTAAAAAAAAACTAAAAATAACGATTATGACAATTGTCACTTTTCTACCGTACTTCTTCACTAAATTTAATTTAAACATATTATCAACATATTTAAACATATTTTCGTCAAAAAAATTCAAAAAACTTTAAAAATAACGATTTTGACAATTGTCACTTTTCTACGGTACATCTTCATTAAATTTTTATTTAAACATGTTATCAATACTTATTTTAATCTATTTTCGTCAAAAAAAACTTTAAAAATAACGATTATGACAATCGTCACATTTCTACGGTACATCTTCACTAAATTTTATTTAAACATGTTATCAATACTTATTTAACATATTTTCATCAAAAAACTTTGAAAATAACGATTATGACAATTGTAACTTATATATGGTACACTCTAAATTTTATTTAAACATGTTATCAATACTTATTTTAACATATTTTCATCAAAAAAATTCAAAAAACTTTGAAAATAACAATTATGACTCACTTTTCTATGGTACATCTTCACTAAATTTTTATTTAAACATGTTAACAATACTTATTTCAATCTATTTTCGTCAAAAAAAAACTTTAAAATAACGATTATTACAATTGTCACATTAAAATATTATCCTTAAAAATCATATAAAATAACATCAAAAAAGTTTAATATAAATATTTTTAAAAAATTATTTGAAAAAAAAACACCTCATTTAATAAAAAAATAGATAATTTTACAAAATTGATAAATATAAAAGATTTCACCTAAAAGATTGTTTTTTTATCTATTAAAATTTACAATATAATTCCTCAATTAAAAATGTATTTACAAAGAAGATTGTGAAAATCACTAATAAATTATATTAAATAGAATATTACATTTTTTTTTACAATAGCAGCATATTATTTTTTTTATTAAAAAAACATCAAATAAATAAATTTATTTTCATTTCAAAATATAACAATATAAATATTAAATCATATCATGTTTATTTGTTGATAATAATAAAATATTTACATTAAATATAAATAAAATAAATAAATAATAATTAATGATAGGCATCAATGCAGAATTTTTGACTAATTTATTTTAGCCAATTTATAGGCTTAGCTGCTTAGCCTAATTAGGCTTAGCCGATTTATTCGCCTAAAATCTCGGCTAAGCCGTTTTATAGTCGGCTAAATTTAGCCGATTACGCAACACTATAAGACATGTAGCTTTATTTGGCGCTGATTAATTAATTTCCCTTCTATTAAAATGAAGACCAAGCTGCATAATTGGAAGGCTATCTTATCTTAATTACCGCCGATTTTTTTTTTATAATAACGCGAATTTAAGGGGGCCTCCGATCCGAGTTCCAGCACGGTTTACGTTGATATTAGGTCCTTGAGGAACGATAGACTCGTTTTAGTCGAAAAGGGAAGTCCTTATAGCCTGAGTCTCATAGAATCCGGGCAGGTATATATAGATATATTCTTCTAAGATTATATATATATATATTTTAAATCATATATATTGCGTGCCTACAAATCTCTCCATTCAAAGCCGATTTTGAGTCTCGACAAATGTCGAAAAAAAATCCTTGAGAAATTTAACCGGAAGGAAGATAAAAAAATTCTCGAGTTAGCCAATACGGCAAAGCTACTTGCCATCTTTTAATTATTTGGCCAATGAAATCCTAATCTCTGAGAGGAAAAAAAATATATACTAAAAATAGATTCCCGCCAAAAAAATGAAATCCATTAAAATATTTTTTTTTATGGGGAGGGTAAGGGTATTGATTTTTTAAAATAATTTTAAGGATTTGTTTTTAAAAAAATATATAAAGGCATTAAAGCTAGAAGTGGAATCCAGAATATTGGAATTTTTTTTCCTCCTCCATTTTAAATTTGTGTATGTTTTGGTGTTTTGTCATCTAATCGATCCAATATTAAATGGTTTATAGGTGGCCTATATTTGGGGAATTGTTGTGGGGGATAGTTGACGTATTTGTTGTTTGTTTCTGCAAACGTATGTATCCTAGTGTTCGGTTGGTGGTTACCATATGTTTTATATTTTCACCGGTGCTTTGTTGGGAGGCGCTTTTTACTTGTTGGTAATCGTAGTCCATTTCCATTGCGCCGCTTAGTACTGTCGAGGTACGAGAGCCATTAAGAACAAGGGACGTAGAGGGGACGAGGGCAGTCATCAGATTAGGTGTGCCGGTTACAGGGTTTAGATTATGAGAATTAGCTTTAACCATGGTGGGCAGTAGAAGGGAATTCGTCCTATCCAACAAATCACAAACAGAAAAAAAAATTAATTCTCGAAAAATCGATATAAAATAAAGCTCCTGCCAGGGGTAAACGTGGTGGTCGCCAACCCGCAAACGCGCTGCCTTTGCGCGGATTCGCATCTCGGAGAAATTTGGGTCAAAAGTCCTCACGACTCTACCTCTTATTACGCCATATACGGTTTCAAAACTTCCCACCTAACTTCCCGGGAAATATCGGAGAATCTTTCCAAGGCGAATAACGGTGATAAATTCAGGGATGATTCGCCGCAGCAAATGGCGTCTATCAAACCGCACACGCAAAACGTTACTATAACAAACGAAGACTTCAACGTCCATTTAGCGGTGGGGGATATCAAAACTAGGTTCGCTAAAACCGGTTACCTGGGTTTTCTTAGACGAACGGAATTGAGACAATCTGATGGGGGTATATAATCAATGCATTAATTATGAGGTCACTTTTTTAAATATTTTATTACAGTTATTAGAAGGTTATTTTTTTTTCCTTCTCTGTAATTAATTATTCTTGATTTTTAACCCAAAATGGTCCCCTTTTTAGTTAATATTTAATAAATCGCGTTTTTATGACAATTTTACTCCAACATTTATATTAGAATATCACGACGCTTTGTTTGTGGTTGGATCCATGGAAGAGACCTTGATCATCAGGGGAATGCGATTTCATCCTATCGATATTGAACAAACCATCATTAAAAGTCACAAGAAAGCTGGACAATGGTAACTAAATATATAAAATTTTTTTAAAAAAAAGTGAATTCTCTAATCCGCCATTTATTTATGAGAATATAATTTGGTGGGAAACCCAGCTTCCTTAAAGTCTAACCCCCATTTGAAATTGCTCTGCCATGCTGGAAAGACCCTATGAGCTTCTGTAATATTACAGTTAGTAGGGGCAATTAGGATCCAGGTTACTTGCGGAATCCTTACTAAAATTAGGAGTATTCGGTTTGAAAGATGAAATCATGATTTTTAACGAAAACGATATTTATATTTTTCGCCATAAAACTAATCAATTATATTAATTTTTTTCCTTTATAAAGCGGCATTTTTACGTGGCCCTCCAACCCGGATCTTTTAGTAGTCGTGATAGAATTACGTCACGCATTCTCTCCTACTAATTCCAACACTTCTTCCACCAATTATGCGTTAGATCTTGTTCCAGCTGCCACTACAGCGTTACTCGAAAGGTTTTTCCATATTTTATATGAAGAATGATGTTTTGGGTTTAAAAAAAAATATCATTCTTATTAAGAAACCTACAAAATAAAAAATTAGCACTCACGTGGTAGCAAACTCTTTTTTAGTTTATGGGCCGTGGCCAGAATTTTATATTTTAGACGTATTTATCACAAAATATTATTTAGAAAAATTATTAGTAAATAGTTTTCCTCCCTTTTAAATTCATTTTATAATTGATATTCAATCAGGTACAAAGGAAAGAAATCATACTATATTTATTATCAAACGATTCTGATAAATTTATATTATTGTTTTCAATCTTTTTATTATTTTTTTTGTTTCTTATAAAAGGCACAGATTGGTAACGGGAGTGATAGCGATAGTGGACCCGAACGTTATACCGCTAGACGCTCAAGGTCGCAAAAGAAGACTCCAGCTGAGAGAGGCATTCCTGGCCGATAGACTAGATCCCATCTACGTGGCTTACAACATGTGACGACATCATGGTGCTTGCCGTCTTTTTAGGCAAAATCGACCTTGTAAATTTGTTTTTCATGACATAATCCCACTAACACCATTTTAAAAAAAAATTATTGGCAGTATGATTTTTGAACAAGTCCATATTGATTGATTTATTATTTATTTTTTTTGATAATGTTTAGAACACTAATTATAAATGATGCGTTTATATATTTTGATAATTTATTAATTATTCGAAAAACTCAATTTGATATGGTTATCGTTGGTGTAAAAATAGTTGCATAAATTTTATATTGATTGTAATTAAGTTTTTTTTAAAAAATGTAATATTTTATTTAATTAAATTCTAAGTATGTGAGATATGGTTTATTAAAAAAATTTTTATATAACTCAAACTTGTCCGAATATTGATTTTTTTTTATAAAATATAGGGTTCAACCTGCTCTATATAGACCTGCATTTTTATTGTTTGGATCGGCATTACATTATAATATGCAAAAAAAATCGTTGTTTTTGAGTAACGTCTGCCAGTCACTATATACTTTGAGTAAGAGACCAGTTTTGTTTTGTAGATCTAGCCCAGGTATTTCCGCGATATGATGGGGGAGTATGATATATATAACAGATCGGAAAGGCCTGATTTGGAATAAATATCTATCTGTTAATATATCATTAAAAATGGATCGTTCGTAGTTTAGCAAATTACTATTCACATAAACATTTTAAAGAATCATTAAAATTTGTTCAATATTTAATATTTTCCAGATGTGAATTTCAGGCATGCATTCCACTATTCGGAAACCGGAAATCGATGGCATTTAAATATAACCCGCTTAAACGAAATGCATTTCTCTAAGTATCGCACTTAAATATTATGCAAATAAAAAATTAATGTATTTTACTTGAATCTTATTATGTCCTTTAAAAAAAATATATGGTTGATATCTCCGTGCAATTACCTTAATTTCATTTATTTATTTGTGTAAGAAATATTAGCGGTTAATAAAAACATAGTAATTTTCCTTTTATTAAATAATAATTTTTTTTTTAAAAATTAAGTAATATGAAATCCTTAAAAATACGCGAATTTTAAAATCATAGCAATATTTATAATTTTGTAAATTATTAACTTTTTGTTAATCCCCAACCACCAACTAAATATTTATTTTAACTTTAAATCGACCTTATTTTTATATATGTATTATATTAATCAAATTAATTCTCTGTAGTCTTAAATTCTTAATAATTATTTTATATATATATCAATAGAAACACAATCAAAACTCTAAAAAAAAATTTTTTTTTATATTATTTAAAAACTAATATTTTTTTTTATTTTTGTAAAATCGAAAACTTTTTAATTTTTTTTTATTTTTAAATAAAAACAAATTGAATCAAACGAAAACTTCTTTTTTTGTTCAACGAATTTTATAATAACTCTTATTGGGAACAGAAAACAATCGTTTTTTTATATATAAATTTTGATAAACTGAATGTGCAAAAAAAAAACTACATTTTATATAAATACTTAGTATTGTTAAACGGCACGGTTTGAGCCGATTTTTAAAAACGACCAACCCGGTATTTTAGCCAGAAAAATATTGTCTAAGCTTCGAGATTTCGCGATGTCCAAACTCCTGTGCCGCCTATGAGCAAAATCTTAAGGCTTGTGCATAATATTTTTTCCGGATAAAACATTGAGTTAGCCGTTTTTTAAAAATCGGCTCAAAATGAACCGTTTAACAACACTATATAATAGATACTTTCGAAAAAGTTTATACGTTTGTTAATATTAATATATCGATTTGTAAATTTTTTTTTTATTATATTCAACTTTGTTTTACCTTGTATATATTTTAACTGTGCGAAAAAAAAAACCAACATTACGTTTTTTAAAAAAAAATATCTTTCTCCCTTATAAAAGTCCACGCATAACAAAGCCAAAATGAGCATCATTTGCCAAAATATATATTTTACAACGATTGTAAATTTAAATGTGATATAGGCTTGCTTAACATAAGGTTAATTTCGCTTAGTATAGCCCTCGTATTATTAAATATCCCTCATGACAATAGTGTTAGATCCCACGACGAGTCGAGCCAAACCGTTGAACTAGGAAGTAATAATCCGGTCCGAGTTTGATTATTTGAGTCAATCTCAAAGCCGATTTTTACGATTACACCTTCTAAATAAGTCTGGCGAGTTTAGATCGGCTTAAAGTGCTGCTGTTTAATTCAGACATTTATGCTTAAGCAAGGAACGTGTAGAAAACTAAAATATCTAGCTTGGCGTTACAAATAAATTTAAAATAATTCTGTAATATCTCTAAATATTTATATTAAAAGGAATTTTAATAAGAATTGATATTGAGACACTTATAATATAATCGTATGCGAAGTTATAAAGAAATATACATTAACGTCAATTTAATTTTTTTTTAAATTCGCCATGTAAGTAGTTTCAAAAATTTTTTTATGTGTTTTTCAGTTGATCATCCCATATTGTAAGTATTGCCCCAACCTCGTCTATGAGCTTCATTAATTTTATTTTTGAAATAATAGTATATTTTAGCAATATTTTTAAAATATCAATAATATAATCATTTTAAACAAGCTTTATCGTTATATCTGTCGTCATGATCAAGCAAGTAACATTCGATAATACCAGCATAGGGTCCAAAATATAACTTTTAGGCAGCATTTAATGTGTAAGAAGTAAAGGGCCAACTTTTTTTGTGATTTCACATACAGTTACCACAAAATAAAAATCACGTTTAGATGGAAATTATTTGTCTAATAAAAATCATTCCTTTTTTAATGATAGAAGTGAGTTGAGAGATGTGGATATCGAGTGAAGCGAAGCGTTGGTGTTGATTTCTATGGAACGACCTTTTTTCTGAAACCCAGAGTAATTTACTAAGAGCCATCTTTAACGGCTCGATTTCGTCGATCTCCAAAGACAACTAAAGCTTCGAAATTTGACCAATAGATGATGTCCAAACCCTTTTGCCTGCCATCTATGAGCAAAATCTCTAGGCTTGGATAATATTTTTAGGCGAAAATATTGAGTTAGCAGTTTTTAATCGAACCGCTTAACAACACTAATTAGCCGAAACCGGGTGATTTTTAAAAATGGCCAACTCAATATTTTATCCAGGAAAAAGTAATACATGTTTAAACATTTTGCTTCTAGATGACACAAAGGATTTGGACCTCTATTAGCGAAATGTCGAGGTTTAAGAAATATTTTTCTAGCTAAACTATTGAGTTCGCCGTTTTTAAAAATACTTAAAAAGAGCAGTTTAACAACACTACGTGCATCTGATTATTAAATTTCTAATCAGGTAAGTTTGAAATTCAATCGGATTTTTATTGAGGTGATTATGTGACATATAAAATGTTCGCGTAAAATAGGCAAAGTTTCTTTGAATTAGAAGAAAAACTTTCATAAAAGGAAAGATTAAAATAATGCATGATGTTATTCCCCTCTCCCAATGAAAACAGTTACTTTTACAGCAGAGTTTTGCACCGACAAATCTGGGAACCTAGAACAATCTAAAATTTTCAGAAATTATTCAACGTTTACATTTTTTGATTAAAAATATTCTGTATGAACCTTTTCAAGTCCATGTTATAAATTCTGCTCTAAGTTTTAAGCCATTATGATGCACCCTACCTAACTCGACTTAATTATGAATTCTATTCAAAAAAGCAGCCTGGAAAATAATTTTTATGTATTTTTTTGCATAAGATGATCTAAAATAAATTAAAGAGCCCGCCAATTTTTTTTTACAAATCCAGGCTGGGACATGTGTACATTTTCAAGACACTGAAATAGATGCACTTAATGAACTTATACCTATATTTTAAATGTAAAAGTCTCAGAACAACTATTTAAAATTCTAAAAAAAGAGAATGAGAACACATTCTAAGAGTTTATTATAAGTTTCGTTAATGTAGCATATGCATATATATAAAGTAAAATAAGAGGGATGGGAGGGGAAATATAGGTAGCATTATTTTACTATCTTTCCAGTCATCGTATTCTCGTTTCTGTTTGAGACTTTCTTCCTCAACATTTTCTGGCGCCTTCTGAGGCTCCGGCGAATGCGAAGAGTGAGTTGCGTGTGCACATTCTCTTTCCATTTTATCGTCATACCACTCGGCGGGAGTCATGGTTGGAAGGCTGGGATACCCCTTTCCGAATACTTTGTCTTTAAGCTTGGTTCTTTGATTAATGAGCTATAGGTAAGTATGCGCATTACAAATGCTATTATGTATAATAAATTATAAATAATTTAATGTAACAGAATTCTTTTTTTTCTTTGTAAAATCCTCGTTGGTGGGAATTATTAAATGTATATTTTATTTTTAGATTTATAAAATTGGTTATCGTGAAATCATTATTTAATGTGATTTATTTTTGGTTTATAATTTTGATTTTCAGCATGATTGTGAGATTCATAAATTTTTTAAAAAAATATTTTTTTAAACTTACTATTGTTTCGAATTATTTTTTATAGTAATAGAATCCCTATAAAAGTGAAGCAAATTGAAATGTAAATTTAATACATTTTTTACTTCCTTTGTGATTATTATTATTAAAGATTTTTTAGTAATATTGTGTATTTCTGTGCGTAATATTCAAGATAGAGGTGGACAACGTACTACTTTCTATTATAAGATATTATACTTCATGTATCTGGAGCAAATGGAGGAACATTTTAATTACGATAAGTAGATCAGCTAACCAACGTTAGTCTACACTTTGAATGGAAATCCAAATAATTCAAAAATCCATTTATTAAAAAAAACTATTTTAAAGTTTTTTGGAAGCAATTTTTTAAAGGAGTGGTGACACCAAAAGTGTAACAAAAAATTCAGCTGTACCGATTTTATAATATTTTATAATGGGTGGTTATGTAATAATTTACTTTTTCTATTTTTTTTACAAAACAATATAAAATATTTGAAATAACTATATTTTGAAAAATTCCAGGCCAGGACATAAAGGATAAAATTTGGGTCAAGCTTAAAATACTCATCATCAAACTTATTTATTGATATTTATTTATGTCAGCTCAACTTCAATTTTTTTTAATTTTTAAGCCTAAGTCAGATTTTTAAAATCACTCCAGGCCCGTATCAGGGCTGCTGTAAAATTAATATATTAATATTTTTTAAAGAACTGGCCAGAGCCAAAAAGGAAAGACCCTGGCCAGGATTCTATATCAAGTAGATTACTAATATTTATAATTATTTTTGAATTAATTTAAACTCAAATAAAGGGCACTATATTATTAATTAAAACTTTTAAAGAGAATTAAAGAAGAATTTAAATATGTTAGAAATTTTCATTCATTATTTTTTTTTGAAAATGTTTAGAACACGCACAAAAAAAACAAATTCATTTCTTATAAATTTCAATAATCAACTTTTTAAACATATTTAATATATTACTGGTATATAGGATTGTGTTTTTGGTGGTATATGTATAGTTTCATTTTTGTGAATTGTTCCTGATTTATTATCTTCAATAACTTTTATTTCCACTATAAAATAAAGTAATAAAATAAAAATAATAGTCTATGTTTTTTTACAATTAATGAGGTTGAGTTCATTTTGACTTTGATTAGCAAATTTCTCAATTAATTTAATGTAATAATTTTTCTACAACACTTTTTATTATAATAATTAACTTGGATTTACTAAAATATCATTATATCCATCTTCTGTGAGCTTATATGCTGAGGATTTTATAAGCTTTTCTAAATTTTCTAATTCTAAGTCATAATTCTGTTGTAACTTATAATTAGCAATTTTTTCATTCCTTATATTATCTGGATTATTTGATGTATTAGCCAAAAAATGTTTATATTTTATTGAATAATTTTTGCATATTTTAAAAAAGTCTTCATAATATTCCTAAATTCTAAGAAATTAAAATTATTTAAATATTATTTTTACTTTTGCCAATCTTAAGTGATTTAAACGATCTGAATTTAATAAACTAGTTAAATATGCTAGAAAGGCAGGTAATAAAAGATATCTAAAACAATATAATCTAATATTATTAATTTTATACTTTATATAATTTGGTTCCACTTCATTAATGTTTTCATTATCAGAGAAAACTCCATTACAAGACAATTTTTTAGTCAGATCTTCCAATTTTTTTATTACATCTGATATCTGAATCTTATAAGTTAAAATAATTATTACTGGGAATTAAAATTTAATACTTGATTAACTTTAGATGATACATCTATATCGCTTATATTCCTAATAAACTTGTAGGACATATCAAATATTTGAGCAAAATCTGTTTCTTGAACATCAATCATTTTATCGATGTGATAAAATCGGTTTAACTCTGAGAATTGATTGGTAAACTGAAAATGGACAGGTATACTGAGAATAGACAAGTAATTTTTATTTTTTTTATTTTATAACTTAACTATATTTTAATAGAGTTGCAAAAGGATCGAATCAAAAGAATGCCGATCCTGGATTCGATCCTAAATTTGTCAATTTTCTTGAATTTATGATTGACTTAAATTGAGGATTGTGATCGAGATTATTTTATTTAATATTCGATCCCGATCCTTTTAGGAATTAATTTTTTTAATTTAAAAGCAATAAATAAAATAAAAATTAAAATATTATTTTTGTAAAAAATATCTTATCAACTTCCATTCCATTCCATCATATTTTATATTTAACAATTTCCTAAATTTTATCTAGAACGATATTTTGAACCTACAAGTTTTATTTATATAATTATATTATATATAATATAAATAAATTCTAGGTTTTTATTATGTCCTCCATTATAGATTTAGAAGATAATACAGCTACTATTGATGTGACAGCAGATATAAGTGAGAATGTGAATCTTTTACCATTTCATAATTTACGTAATTATTATACTTTATGTGAAAAGGATGGAAGTAACTAAATGATCAGTGTAAAATGCTTTTTATGTTGGAACAAATATCTTCAAAGATTAGTTGTTTAAACCTTAAGGCTATTTAGAAGTAATTAATTCTTTTAAAAATACAGTTTTATTATTTATTTGTGAAGAGCCTAACAATATGCATATAGTAAGAATTATTTACAATAATTAATAAAATATTTATCGATGTGTTAATAATGGCTAAGTTTTGCAGATACCTGATTTATATGAACGAACACTTATTTAATAATAAATTAATTATCCTTTATTTATATAGATTTCCTTAACTATATGATGACAGTAACATATTGGCAGCAATAATACACCCAAAATTTAAGCTAAATTGGCCTTATATTAATCTGCCACAAAATATGATGGTAAAAGAAAGGTTAAATTCCCATTTGGAAAAAAATGCAGGATCAATCACAAGCAGATGTTTCAAATGAATGTATGGATAAAATTGATGCCATTTTTGTGAAAAATTTTTCACAAAATGCTCGTCCAATTAATAATTTTTTTTTATTCAAATGAGGATTCAATGAATATTTAGGTTTATTTTAAAGAAAATATTTATTGAATATAACACACCTTCGCTTGTTTAGTAAAGCTAAACATGTGCTCTATGAAAGACGTGGATGTTTAAATGATAATAACTTTAAAAAAATTTTACTATTAGAGGCTAATTTTAATTATAAATAAATATATACTAATTGTTGTACTTATATTATATTATTCAATTACACAATAAATTTATACCATATGTAATTTATTTTTGTATTATTTAATTTTGCATCGATCAGAAATTTCCTTCAGAAATTTAAATAAGAAAAGGATCGCGATCGCGATCCTTTTTTAAAAAAAAGTTCGATCCTGGATTTTGATCCTGGATTTCGATACTCTTTTTTTGAAAAGATTGTGATCGGGATTCGATCTTTTTAAAAGGATCGTTTAAAAAGCCTGTATTTTAAAAATATAAATGTTAAAGAAGTAATAATATATTATTACGTATTTATTTGTTTATGTAATTGTTTATTATTATTATATTATTATATTATTTTTATTTTTTATTATTATTGTAAGTTTATTTTTAAAAATAAAAGATTATCAATATTATTTTTTATATATATTATATCAGTAAATATTCAAATAAAGTAACCCATAACCGGAAAAAAAATAAATATTATTAAAAAGAATTATTTATTTTCGCGATTAAAATAAAATCCGAGGCAAAAAGGTAAAAAAATTATTATATTTTTCTTCTTATTATTATAGTCTCTCGAACTTGAGTTAAACATTTAAAAAGGGAAATTAAAATATTAAAGAATTACAAATCATAAAAATGATTGGCCAAGACGTAGTGTACGGGATAATTTCGGGAATATTATTAGAAAAGCATTGTATATACAGGAAATATCATTAATATTCCCAATTCTGGGAACAATAAATAATATTTCATCCATTTTTTTTTAAAAACTCAAATTAAATACCAGTCTTCCTAGCATCTAACAATTATATTTTCAATATTACCTTTTAAAATTATTCTAGGAGATGTAAGCTAGGTTCCCATTTGAGCGATTTAGAATGTAGACCAATCCTTGATCTCTAAAATAAAATAATTGTGAATCAAGCTGTATTTTATAATAGTTTTATGTTTCAAATCATTCTTTTACTTACAAGTAGTGTTATTAAACGGCTCTTTTAGCCAGAAAAATATTGCCTAAGCCTCGAGATTTCGATATATGTCGCTTAGTTCCTTCTATGAGCAAAATCTTCAGGCTTGCGTAATATTTTTCTGGATAAAATATTGAGTTAGCCGTTTTTAAAAATCGGCTCAAAACGAGCCGTTTAACAACACTACTTACAAGATTGAACACTTACCCTTTTTTTTAAAATAAAATTTGCATATTTAGGAATGGGTTGAATATGAAGAAAAGGCTGGATGTGCTGTCGGAATCTAACTATTTAGAAATTTAAATTTATCAAAATTTTGAAACCAATATTTATGTTTGATTTATAATTATATTTTATTTTATAATTTTAATAAAGTTTAATTATTTCAAAAGCAGACGATTAAAAAAAAAATGTAAAGATGGAATTATGTCGAATGATAAACATAAATTATTCCTAAATTATAGTAAATATTCTAATTATTTTTTTTTTTAGGATTATATGCAAATAATGAAATCCCAAGTAATTAAAGAATTAGTAAGGAATTCTTAGTACCCTCCATCTTATTACTCTCATCTGGAGTTTTATCGGGCTTCTTTGCAAAGAAAAAAACCGACTCAGGAATAAACTGATTTGTGATGATAGACCATATCTTTTGAAATTTTCGAATATTTGTAAATGGTAAGATTTCTGGTTGCTGGGCCTTAAAGGTGCAAAAAATTACTTAATTTTGTAAAGTTGTGAAATTTTTAAAATTATTTATATCTCAAAAAACTATTTAAGGTAAAAAAAAATAATTGAAATTTTACTTGTAAAATAGATGGCAGGGACCTGCCGGCCCTAAGCCCGGCCCTGGTAAAAACCAAATATTTGAAAATTAACCATCATTAGCTTAAAAAATCAAAAATAAATAAAATATATTTTAAATAAATCCGGGCCGGGCCTGAAAAGATTTATGAAAAAAAAATTCGGACCAGCTGGTCTCTGATAAATGGTGCTATACAAGATTATGGAGTATGGAATAAAACTTTGTTGATAATTTACCGATAACAGAATCATTTTTACTATTTCGAATTATCGATCAAAAAAAAATAGATGCCTGTAAATAGGTAACGCGCAAGATTATAATGTTACTTTTTACCAAATTTAAAATTTTTAAATAATCTTGCGCAATAATCGCCATGATGATTATGTCATTAGAAATTTCGCCATTTTTGTTATATACTTAATGGACGTTTTGTTTACGATGATAATTGTTTATTTTTTTCTCGTCTTTATTACGAATTTGTAAATATATGATAAGTAATAAAGACAGTTAGAATAACCTGGCATAACCTAAAGGAGGTGCTAGGGCCCTGCCCAGTTTCTAACTGACCCCATTTAAAATTGTTAAATATTTACTGGAATTATTTATATAGGTAAACAAGGTTCTAGTTCTTATTACGCGTTTCTAGATTAATATCTTTCTTTTCCTTGCTCCTCCTAACCCTTCCTTTTCCATTACAACCTCTCTTTTTTTTTATATATCTTTACTTACTATGTAAGATATTATCAAATTTAGTGTTGTTAAAAAGCCAGATTTGAGTCGATTTTAAAAAACGAAACGGCCAGATTAAGATTATATGACCAAAATAACATCATATTAGCCTAAAGAATTTTGCGCAGAGCTGTGTCAGGAAACGCTTCATCTATTTGGCCAAATCTCCTAGCTCACCTAAATGTTGTTAAAAAGGCTAACTCAATATTTTAGCCAGAAAAATATTGTCCGAGCCTCGAGATTTCGATAATATATGTTCTAGACCTTTGTTCCTTCTATGAACAAGATCTTCAGACTTGTGTAATATTTTTTCTGGATAAAATATTGAGTTAGCCGTTTTTTTTAAAAAAAATAGGCTCAAAACGCGCCATTTAATAACACTAAGCTCACCTAATATTTATTATTTTAATCTGAAATCGGCCATTTTGTACAACACTAATTCAAATTCGATAAATAATCGAAATTTTTTTTTTTAATTTAAAATGGAAATAATAATATTTATCCTTTATTCAGCATAAAATGATCGAAACAATATACCCTATATTTCTATTAAATTTAATAATATTTTTTGGTTTTTAAAATATTATCAAATTTTTCTCCTTATTCAGCATAAATGAAAGCAAATTGTAATCAACTTCTGATATTTTTTTTTTAATATAAATTTCATTTTTACAAAAAAAAATTTTTGTAAATAAATGAAAATGTTTATATTGAAAAAACTAAAACATAATTTTAACAAAATATGTAAAATTATACTGTTCTCATGTATTGTAATCCTTTTTTACGTGCTTATCTTCGATTATCACTTCTATTCAGCAATCTATCCGCTCACGGTTATCGATATTCATAAAATATTCCCTAAACACCAGAGTCAAATAGTAGGAATGAACGATATATCTAGTGTTCAAAATGGGAGAGTGCGTTTAATCAGCCGCGAAAATAATCGACAGCACAATGAAACTTGGGAAGACACGAAAATAGACGCGTATAGTTACCTGAAACGGCGCTTTTCCTCTGATTATCTCCAAAATATCGATGCTAGTTGTAAGCTCGGCAATCACCGAAATTCTAGTAGCGAATGTCTGATAGACCCCATTACGGCAGTCCGGTTCAATTTTGATCGAGATATTTTGGCATTCGTCCACATACAAAAAACCGGAGGCACCGAATTCAGTTCTATATTGGTGCACAATGTCCAAGTAAATCCTGTGTGCTC